GTGTGGCGGCGAGCGAGCCGGGGCCGGGGGGGGGGGGGGGGGGAGCCGGCTCGAATAACTGTTAAATTTTTATTATTTTTTTAATCTAGTATAAAACATTGTTAACATGAAATAAATTATTTTCTAATCCCGCCCGCTTAAAAGAAAAAAATCTAATCCCGCCTAAAACACGCTGGGCTCGAGGTGTTGCTGCTCGTGTACAGAAGTTTTACTGGTCTCGAAAATGGTGTGACAGATGGACGCCTGGATTTGAATTTTGAGAGGGAGATTTGACAGAGAGACATTAGTTCTCCTCAGCATTAATGCATTTAATATTAATTTTTTGTCTTTGGGCGGGTGGGAGAAAAGTTGAATCCATATTTTGGGAATCGGGTGAGTGGGAGAAAAAGTTTCATTTGACCTATGCTTTAATATTAAATACTGAAATATTAAATGCACTGCAGCATTTAACATTTAAAATTAAAACTGTATTCAGACTTCGGTAATCGGGCGGGCGGGGCTTGCTTGCGGGAAGCCTAATGCTGGCTCGTCGAGCCGCTCGATAAGCCTGTCGTAGTGCGACGAGTCGAGCTCGAGCTCATCTTTTGAGCTCGACTTGAGCTCGAGTTCGAACTGATTACCTGACCGACGAGCCGAGCTCGATAAGAGCCAAAACTCGACTCGACTTGTTTACACCCCTAATGTGGGTCATATGCATTAATTAAATATTGGAATTAAATCTGAATTTAATTAGAAACTCAAGAAGTTGATTTATCGGTTCTTGAGAAATCTTTTAACTGTCGGTGGACGCTGTTGGCGGAGGAGACCGAAAGGGTTGTTGTTCTTTGGTTGTTCTTTAAGAACAGTGGTTATCTTTTGTTTTGTAAAATCTGGACTAAGGGGGTGTTTTTTAGATATTATTCCAGATTTTTAGGTTTGTTTTTGTATAGGTTTTTTGTATGGCATATGTAGCCATTTGTGTAGCTATTTGTATAGCTTATAGGAGCCTATAAATAGGCTTTAGTTTGTTTTAGGTATTGAGGCCAAGAGAAATAAAGTTTACAGAATTATTTTGGCTCTCCCCTCTCCTCTCTCTATCTCTTGCAAGAAGATCTATCCAGATCTTCCTCCTTGCTTTCAACATAAAGAAATAAAAATATTCGAGCCAATTGTCCAAAAATTTCTTCTTATTCAAAATATATGTGCCTTTCTTAAATGGGTTGGTAAAAATTCATGTCATTTTTTAGGTTTGGTTTAAGAAAGTTACTTTCGATTCCATTTTCTTCATAATCTAAACTAAATGGGTTCAAATTTGATGCATTTGTGTTGCATTACATTAATTTTACGTTATACTCCACATATACGAAATGACTTGTCATCTCCTTTTTGGTTATGTACGATAATTGATGATATCAATTATCACAGTTGTTGATTTTTTATTATATTCCTTCTCTTTTTCAGAATATATTCAAAAAGATTTTTTTTTTTGGCTGCCTCTTCATCAATGCAATATTTCTTTAAATTTTAGTAAATGCTGGATCAAATTTTTTGATAGATCCATACCATTTTTTGAAATGTTTTTCAACTAGATAAAAATTCCAACACCTAGAGCCTTCATGTTATTGTCATCTGTGAAAATATGATTATTATGTTGAAAATGTTAAAAACAAATATTAAAATCCTTGAATCTTCATTCTCTTGAAAGCGTCTGGTTAAATCCCTTAAATACAGTTCTATTAGTGCAGCCAGGAAAGTGATGCTCCAAGAGTAGTTATTTTGAATATTATGAAACTTTTTCTCCAATGCCAATTATGTTATTTGATCGAGCAGCTCTTTAATATGGTTGCAGCATGATTTTGTTACATGAAGTATTACTTTGAGATCTCTTGCTGTGAACAAAATGGAAAAGAAGCAAAAGATTTTGGAATCTCGAAAGAGATTAGACAATGCACTATCGTTGCCGGATCTTGTAAATGAAGATTCTATTGCGTCCCTGGTCAAAGAACAACTTATTCAGTCTTCTTTAAGGAGCAACGGAGGTTAGCTTATTTTTTTAATATTTGCATTTTTTTTCTCCCTTTAATTTTGCTGAAATTTTAGGATCTTGACTTGACTTAGTTGAATTTTTTTTTTTTTGGCTTTTGCTTTTGTATTCCTTTTTATGATTTTTTAATATGATTAATTTTCTCGATTATAAAGATGAAGATTTTTTATTTTCTTTGTTGTTTAATGAAAAAAAAACAAAAGCAAAAAATGCAGGATCTCTTTCTCTATTTGATATTATAAATCTTGGCATCACAAATTGGCGGCTCCTTAAATGTTGTTGTGGTATGTCGTTGATTTGCATGACTGTTTGAATTCTTTTTTCATCAGTAATTAGTCTACGTTGCTGTTGTTTTAACTTTGACATCTATGTTTGAAATATTATCTCCACAAGATTATTTGTATGATTAATATTTTAAGAGATTCATAAATGTCAGCATCAATTTGATAATTCATTATAAAACAATATTATCAGATAGCTCATCAAAAGTTGCATTTTCAAATTGATCATTTGATTCATCATCTATATAAGATATGAATTGTTCATTTTAATATTTAGGCAAGGCATATATAGGCTTAGTTTCTATCAGAAATTTTGGTTAAAATATGTTCTCATTCTCAATTTTAATCTCGAATTCATTCTGACTTTTGATCAATTATATGATAGACTCATTAGCATGATCTATTGTTGATGTGAAACAATATTAGCATGGAGTTACTTAGGGAAATTAAAGAGAGTATATTTAACAAAATAATCCAAAATAAAATTATCACTTATAGCAAAAGATTGATCCTTGGAGTTCTCTGTTTTTAACTTGCTTAGGCAAAGAAGAGCGAAGTCGTTTGACCAAACAATTTAAGAGAATGCAAAGAATAATTGTACGCTACGACAATAAACAAGAATCCACGAGTTAATAATGATAACTTTCACCTTTGGAGTTCATACGCTCAACTAGTCTAGGCTTTAGCGGAAGAAGAGTCTCCACATTAAAACCGAGGTCACTCCGAGGAAGAAGGAGCCTAAGATCGTCGTTCTTGGATAGGTGGCCAGAGAGGTGGAGGAAGGTGGCCGTCCAATGATGATCCAGCGTCCCTTTGACATTTGCTCGTCGATCACGTACACTAAGGTGTAATGGATGCGGTCGATGTAATCTTCAATAGTATCGTCGAAATCGAAGCCCACATCAAAGAACAGTGATTGGAGGATGTCAACTTGATCTTGGTCGTCATGCACAAACCCAAAGTTCCATTCTGGTTCAGTCATGCATTCTTGTCGGGCGGGAAGATGCACAAAAGAAGTGGGAAAAGAGGGGAAGAAGGTGGCGGGTTGGTGGAGGAATGTGGGTTTGGCTTGAGCACTTGAAAAGTTTGAGTAGATAAAACAATTAAGGTCAAAGAGGAGCTCGGGTAGGAGAGAAAAGCCTCATGAGACAAACAATTTCAGTTTTCTGAAATTGCATTAGTGAGGAAACGTGGAGAGGGGAAACTGATTTGAAAAAAAAATCAAAACAATTTCCAAAGGAAGGGGGGGGGGCAGTTTTGTGAGGGATTAAGGGAGTTAATGGGAAGTAATTATTGTAATTGGAGAGAGAGAGGGGCCATTAAGGGGCCGGCCACATGACTAGGAGAGAGGGGCTTGGGTTTTATTGCAATGGGGACCACAAACTTAATCACATATTTCACAAAATCTGAAATAAAATCTCAGATTTCTCAAGGAGAAATAACTTCCTAATATGAGGGCAATCAATTGGATCAATTTGAATTTGAAATTTGAAATTGAAATTCAATTAAATTGATTGCCTAAAATTAAGGAGTTAAATTAGGAAACAAGTAATGGCTCATAAATCATTCAAATTTCAAATTTTGAAATTCAAGGAGGGGGAAGCCGGCGGCTAGAGGAGGGAGGAAGGGGGCGGCCACGGTGTGGAAGGTGGCTTATTTTGAAATTTTATTAAAATAATTTAGCTAAGCTGTTGTTAACAGCAATTTTACATTTTATGGATCAAAGGGGAATGAAGGAATAGAAAAGCGAACTCACAAAATTAGCCAACAGTAGTTTGAAGAAGCTAGTTTGACGGTACCTGTGATTGGGATAAGCTTGACACCCATCAAACTATGTGACACTAGATGCCAAGTGTCTTACAGCAGCTGTGATTTCTAGCATATATTAACTTGTAAAGGATGGTTTGCCTTCAGATTATGTGTAGTAGTTTAAAGGAAGGGACTGTGCCACCACCTTTGAATGACTCTTGACAACCCTAGTTGAAAATATAAGTTGGAAATCTAAAGCGTAGAAAGTCATGCTTTATATGAGTTGTATGGTGTAGTTTTTTTTTCTTTTAGTTTATTTTCTGTAAAATATGTTTATGATATATACAAATCAGATTTGTTATTTAGTAATTTAATTAGTTTGTTAAATATAACTCATTAATGAAGGGTTTCGATTCATCCTATTAAATTTTAATCACCACCTAAGGAGTTTGGAATAATTACCACAATGTGAACCGTTACTTACACTCACTTTGTGTTGTTGTAGTTCCACTATGTTGTTATTCTCGCTGTTTTTCTTATGTTATGTCTTTTGTTGATGTATTTCACATTGTTGTATTTTTGTTTTCTTATTATTGTCCTCCTCTCTATGTTGAAGCACCGTTGTTGTATTTGTATTTGTGTTTTCTTATTATTGTCCTCCTCTCTAAAAGCGACAAGTTATGGCTAAAATCATGGGGTAATAACTATTGTTTCGTGACTTTTTTGGTGTTTTATCTTGCATATCATTGTATGTACATGAAAAAGTTGGAGTAGCTCGAGTGGTAAATAAGATTAGAAAGAGTCTCCCTTAGGAGGTTTAGTCACAAAAAAATTCAGCATTTCGATGACTCGGTTAGGAGAGTAGATGTATTAGATTTGGCTTAGATTGAGAAAGTAGAGGTAAAGCTAAAAAGATTTAGTTAGAAAGTATTATAAATGACAATTTTCTATTTATTTAAATAATAATTTGACTCTTAACATGACACAATAGAGAAAAAGGTTCATTCAGTCGACCCAATGTAGTGGGATAAAGTATTGATGCTGTTGTTGTAGTATCTTGCATATTATAAACTCTAGATTCTAGCCATCATATATCAAGGACATGTACTTGTTTTAAAAGGGTGGATGCCCAATCATGAAATAAATCATTTATCAATTGCCTTTCTTTTTCTTGTAATTTCTTATTGAAACGGAGAATAGGTAAATATGTTATGGTCCCTTATGGAAGTAAAATGGCTTAAGACAGTCTTATATGCAAATTTCGAATTAAAGTTAACTAACAATCCTACTTCCACATTTTGCCTAGCTAGAGTAGATTGCTTCATCGAATGTCAACATACTTAAATATTTTGTGCATGTAGGCAGTAGCAATTACAATGTAAAATATCTTTTTTCTGTATTGTATATATTTTTCAATTTAACTTTTGGTTGGTTAGAAGATGTGGGGAAGATTTTGGAAAACCGCACAACAGAGGTTGCCAATTTTCTTGAGATGTTGAGGAGTGCTTCAGGGACCAGTAACTCTCATTTAAATTTTCAGAAGGATTGGAAGGTAGTCCATTTGTGATAAACATAATTTCTTTCTGTAAAATTTATTTCAACGTTCTTTGCCCATAATTCCTTAACGAAGTTGAACTCATTATTGTAATTCATATGCTTCTGGAGCAATTAATGAGATCCTTTGTGAACTTCGAATCAGGACAAAGCTTTCATTAATATCTTCTTATCCCCAATATTAACTGTGATGGGATTTTTAATGCTCTTCTTTACCCCAGGTAAAACAAGACACCGACCAACTTCGTGTTATGTACTGTGAAGGACTCCATGGCTCTCCATTTCATACTCTACTTGCAGAAGGTTTCGCTGATGGACCCATGGATGTTTGTGAGTGATTTTTTTTTTTTTTTTTTTTTTTTTTTTTTTTGAAAATATCGTGCTTTGAGATTACTCTGAAATCTCCAGAGCTGAAAACAGCATTTTCTATAATTGCAGGTTTGTGTGTCTCATGGGAATCAACTTTGTACAAGAAATGGTGAGTGCCTTGACATAGCAGTTGTTGGTTCTTCATATGTATGTTGTAGCAGTACGTATTAGATAAGCTTGTCCTATGAAATTGCAGATTATCTAGAAGCCTATCATTTAAACTTTTTTTTTCTTGAATGACAGATTCTTCTGCTTGTTATGCTACTTAACTCAGTCCCAATTCTCGTTACCCCCTCTCCCAACACCTCAACTCCCAAAATTCCATATCTTTCCAGCCAACCCTTTTTTAATAACCTAATAGAGATTTGATTTTATTCGTTTTTTGAACTTTAAGTTTGTAACATTAGGTGCCTCAATCTATTTGGTTGATTTATGTCGCACAAATCAAGAAACTAACTGGAGTCCTATTTGTCGGAACAGGACATCAACTGTGTTTTCATCTAATGTTACATCCTTAGCATAGTGTGAATATTTTTCCTACCCATCTAAAATGAATTTTAACTTTTATGGATTTCAATCTATCTCTTGCTAACAAGAGTTTCAAAAGCTATATATGTGGAAATTTGTAAATGATATGTTCAAAGATTTTCGCCTAAATAGAATTCTGAATATATGAAAAAAAAATTTTGATCGAATGGCCTAAATAGAATTCTGAATATATGAAAAAAAATTTTGATCGAATGCTCGTTAGAGCTCACCTTAGTCATGTTATGCCATTTGTTTCTTGGTTTGTTTTTTATGGTTCTCAAGTAGAATGGCAAATCCATATGATGACCAAGCAATGGAAGACGGCTTAAGGAGAATTAATTGTACACCTGCTGAGCATCTCTTCTTAGAAAGCGATGGTAGGCAATTAGGAATGGCCGCTTTTGGAAAAATCTCTAAAGGAGATTGCCACTCTTAAAGACTTTTTTGATATAGGAAAAAACTCGATTTCACTAATTATAGGTAGTTGAAAAACAAAAAATTATTATATTTCACCCTTCTCTCTCTCTCTCTCTCTCTCTCTCTCACACACACACACATACACACAAACACACACACATACACACAAACACACACACATACACCAATTCTCATTTAATCTTATTCCATCTGCAAAAGATAATTTGCTTTGACAATTATGAGGATTAAGCAATCAAATTCTTTCTAGAGTATGCTCCATCAGAGCAAGAATCGGTACATCTTGATTAACTAGTGTTCTAGCTTTTCTATATTTCAACCTAATTGATTGATTTATCCTACCTATTCAAACCTGATTAAATCGCAGCAACAATTTAGTGAGCTTAAAATTCATGACTTAAAAATCAATCAAATAAGTAAAATATCTTCTTAGAAGATTAGATTGTTATAACTATGGATGGTCTACTCTAGTAGGTATTTTGCATAAAAAAATGATAGTTGCTTTTTAAATTAGTTATGATGGAAATTATATGTATTGAGAAAAAGTCCAAAATATTCCTCCAATTATTACTAAGTGGTCAATTTAATCTCAGAATTTTACCATACTCCAATTTAGTCAATTATTTATCAAAAGTTAATACCTTAGTCCCCCTGTTAATAAACTGTTCAAATTGACGAACAGTATTTGCGTTTTGTTGTCTTATAATGTAAGAAGTGTATTTTAGTAAAGAATAATTTATAGTTATAATTATTTTTTAAATTATCATTTATTAAAACTTCTAAATAAATCAATTGTATAAACGATTTAGCACATGTGGGCAGTGTGACTGGAGACGAGCGATCTGATTGCAGAAGAACTAGGGCGCTTGAGCAAATGTCCTTGAAGTTGAAGCAGCAGCGTTACTTGTAGATGAAGTTGTTTGGTGGAAAGATTTAGTAAATCATATCAAGTAAATTTAACTTAAAGCTGCAAATCTAACAAACTCTTATTTTTTTGCGCACCTTTAATCCTATTGATATCTTCTCTAGCAAGCTCCCATTGCAACTTACTCGCTTCCTTATTGTTGTAGGAATCTAGAATTTTAGAAGGAAGAGAAAGTTTTGTATTTAAAATCATTAACATTATTTAATATTAATTAAATAAGATATACTAATAAAAATATTTAAATTAATCTTAATTAATTAAAAAGCTAATTTAAACAAATTAATGTTATTTGTGATTTAATTCAATTATATAGAATTTATTACGTTTAATTAATTTTATAAATTATTTGTTAATTACTAATTAGGAACTAATTATAATTCAATTAACATTAGTATAATTGATTAAACATTTTATTAATTAAAAAGGAAAAAGACCAAAATGATTCCTTGAGTCTTTGTGAAGGATAAAAAATGATCCCCAACTATATTAAGAGACCATTTTGGTCTCTCATGTCTTTAAAAAGAAACCAAAATAGTCTCATAGTGGGACTAAAGAGTTTAGGTACCAAAGTGATCATTTTATATAGCTGGGGATCATTTTGGTCATTCATATAAAGTCAAGAGATAATTTTTGACCTTCTTGCTTAATTAAAATTGTTATTCAATTAAACAAATTAGATATATAGATATCTGTGTTAATTAAGCAATTAAAATAATCTCAATAGTTAATAAAAAGCCTTCTACTTTTTTAGGGCTTTTCTTTTCTCTTCATTGTAAAATGTCAATTTACCATGAAGTAGAATAAAACCAAGTTCTAAAATGAAAAAAAACATATAAGGAACAATTCATTAAGTTTGAAAATAGAGCAATGTAAGAAATGTAACTTCACACTTGCGCTATCTAAAATACCCTTAAATTTAATTTTGTTGTTAACTTTAAATGTGAATTTTGGTCTTAGGGCCAATTTGGATCAATTTTTAATAGTTGATGAACTAAAATGGAGCAGTGTAATAATCTGAGACTAAATTGGTGCTTACGAATAGTCTAAGGACTATTTTAGGCTTTTTATTTATGTTTATTAAATGAACATATAAGGTTATTATGAGAAATAAATTTATGGAACCTTGCATTGTATGCTAATCAATGCTTCGACAGCTCCTCTTCGACATCCAAAAAATTGCCTAATTGTTATTTGTGGATTTGTTAGCATTTCAAAATGGCGTTGGGATAACTATCATCATAAATACAAAGTAAAAATTTTAAAGCAAAATAAAATAGAAGACTAAACTCATCCTCATATTCCCATATCTTATAGTGAAATATACGAGGTTTTCACTTTTACATTGATTTCAACATAATGTTTGTAATCAATGGGTGAAATGAAATCCAAGAATTTCATTGATTCCTCTCGATGAACTTATTAAATGCAAATGCCTAGTACATTTCCTTAACAAAATGTCAAAAATCTTAGATTTGGTCATGGATAAATACCACTGGATGAGACTATTCAAATAAAATTTATATTTAATGGCAATTATCTCTTATATTGTAGTCCCCAAATAAAAATTGATGAAAAATTGAAGCATATTATGAATGTAATAAAAATAATCAAGACTATTAATCTAAGGCAACCATGGTAGCAGAAATTTCCTTGGGAAATCTTCTAGTTGATCTCATGAAAACCCTATAAGAGCTTCAACAGGCACTATCCTATGTGTGGGGAGTGGACAACCAAAGGAAGTGGATTAACAGAGCCATGGGAATCGGTTTATGGGAGGTAGATGGAAGAAAGGTGGGATTCCTACCCTCAATACACGTGGGGAATAATTGTCGACAGAGAAAGTTGGGGTGAAGTAAATGTGAGAAAGTTGAAAATTTAAGGGGAGGATGCCCGTAGGTGGTATACTGGGCGGAGAGATATTTTGCGATGAACGGGTTAATAGAGGAGAAGCTTACAGCTGCAAGGTTATGTTTGGAGGGAAAAGCTCTCTTTTGGTTTCAGTGGAAGGAGACAAGATATCCGATCCGTTCGTGTGAAGAGTTTAAAGATTGCTTGTTAGAATGTTTTCGAGCCATTCAGGAAGGAGTCCTATACGAGCAATTTCTTGCCTTGACTTAGGAGTTATCTGTCATGGAGTATAGGGAGAGATTCGAGTTTTCTGTCGGGGAGATTTAGGGGAATTTTGGAGGCGGTGTGGAGGAAAATTTCATGAAGGGCCTCAAGCCCGATATATGAGGAGACCTCTGTTTGATGAGATCGAGAGGGTTACTAGAGACGATGGAGCTGGCCCATATAGCGGAGGATCGGAGACAGATGGAGAGGAGCAGTAAGAGCGGGGTTGTGGGAGGCTCATAAAGAAGTGCATCGACTTCACTGGCACCGAGGACTCAGACGGTGTCATTTCAGCTGGAAGTACCGAGGGAGAATAGTGTGGGAGTTCACCTTTGGGCCAACTTCAAGTGCCTCATAAAGGTAGAGGTGCAAGACAAGAGCGAAAGGTCTGTACTTTTGCTGTGATGAGAAGTATGCACCCGATCATATCATCGATGGAAGGATCGCAAACTCTAGGTCTTTATGGTTTGCGAGGGGGAGGAGACTGATAGTGAGGGTATTGGGGAGGAAGCGGAGGGGAGTACTTACATTTATATGTGGCGGAAGTGTCCCTTAATTTAGTGGTTGGGTTTACTCCAAGTCGCACCATGAAGGTGAGGAGCAGATTAGGGAGCAACCAATGGTGGTCTTGTTGGATAGCTGGGCTACACATAACTTCGTCTCAAATCAGGTCGTGGACCAATTGGGATTGAAGTTGGTGGATATAGGGAGCTTTGAAGTTATGATTGGAATAGGAAAGGTGGAGACCAGTAAGGGGATATGTAGAGGCTAGTGCTGGCACTCCAGGGCATACATATTGTGGAGGATTATCTTCCCTAGGATTTGAGGAGCATTGATGTGATCCTACTTATGAAATGGTTATAGACGATCGGGGAGATAAAGGTAGATTGAAAATCTCAAACTACAGAGATTCAGGTGGAGGGGAAGAAGGTGGTGCTGCGAGGAGATGCTAGCCTATGCAGAACCATTGTTTCACTCAAAATCATGTTCAAAGAGATACATTGAGCTGATATGTGCTATTTGGTGGAGCTGCATAGCCTGAAGTAAGTCCGAGACTCAAAGCCAGTCGAGGTCCCTGATTGTGTACAATAGCTTCTATAATAATTTTTCTGAGGTTTTTCAGCTGCCTAGCAGATTTACCGACGCCCTGTAAGCTCGAACACAGGTCCTGAACAATGAAATTGTGCTGGAAATGAACATAAATGTATCACTAATTTCTGGAGTCATGGAATTCAACAACCATAACATAATCATAGAGTCTGCTTCATCCCATGCCCCAAAAGTAGGATCTCCTTGTCTTGGTCCTCCGAGAAGGTGGTGAATTTTTCCTTTCCCCTTTAAATAGGTCTTCACAAATTGAGACCACTTTAGGAAGTTCTTTCCATTTAGACGATAGGAAGGTTGCATGCTTTGGAGTTCACCCCGTCCTTGATGCATCATCGACTCCTCAGTTTGGTCAGTGCTCTGTGAGGAATTAATTTCTGACATTATAGTGTTGAATGATAGTAGTTAAGACTATCTATATGACCTTGGTTAGCAATGAAGGCTTCCCGAAAAAAAATTTCCCTTGTCAACAATAAAGGTCAATGATAAGGATTTTCTCCCTCTTTTTTTTAGACTATTTATAGATCTATACATGATATCTTAATGATGAAACAATAAATTACAGATTTAATACATAAAATCCATAATATACTCTTTCCTAAATTATTTCCTTCATTATGGCGTGATCCATGAGAGCTTCCCACGGATTGATTTCTGTGACCATCAGATTCTTTGTACTGGGAATGGTTGGATTTCAGGATTTTAACAAATATCATTGCACTTAGCTCTCAAGGTGCATATTATGATAATATTTTATATAAAATTATAAATATATATATATTTTTAACAAGTTAGCTTACGAGTTAATAAATTAAGTCGAAATTAGTTCAAACTTGTCTTTCTAGCTTATAAAGTGTAGTTTAGAAATATTTATTGAGTTGGCCTATCCAGCTCATGAGTCGGCTTGAGCCATTTACACCTCTAAAGCTTGTGTAGCATGTTATCTACTAGTGCCAGGGATCCATGGGCTGAAGAGTTGCAACATGGAGGAAAAAGAGGAAAAGGGAAACAAGTTTTGGAGAATTTTCATTGAATCCTTTTCAAAATTTCAAACCTATTTATTGTAACTTACAATAGGGAAATATTTCTTATCCATAATTAAACTGCACTATGGAACAAACTCTATCTATAATAACAATCTGGATAAGCTCAAACTTATTTATATCAAAATAAGTTTAAACATTTAACTTCTTTGTTGTAATATGAAATTTGATCCAATAGCTTCACTTCTTGACACTTGATCTCCCTCATTCAATGTTTGATGTGATCACACTAATATATTCCTGACGACATTCTCTTCAATCTCAATAGTATAATTTGAGAATCACTACCATTGACAATTTTCATGGAGAAATCGGGCCATTCAACTTCAACAAATATGATTGCTTTGATTTTTCCAAAATTTGATGCCCAAATAATTAGAAAAATGTCTTGTAGTTTTATTTTAAGTGGAGAATGGGATTGATCTTCTTCTTAATGATTTGATCTCAAATTATATTTTGAAGCTATAATTCTAAAAGAACATGTGTTATTTTAGATTATGAGTGCTCAATTTTGCATTTTTAAGCTGTAAAGCAAAAGTGAACAATAAAGAAGACTGATGATGCCTAAGGAAGATCCTTGTTGATTTATTTTAATTGGAGAATCAGATTGACCATCCTCTTAATGATTTGATCCCAAATCATTTTTAGAAGCTATGCATTCTAAAAGAACGTGTTATTTTAGATTATGAATGCACAATTTAGCATTGTTACATTTGATGGCAAAAGAGATGATAATTTCTTAGGAAATAAGTTTACTAAAGAATTTAAGATTAAAGAATTAAGTAAACTAAATACATATTGAGAATAGAAGTTGCTCATTCGTACCAAGAAATATTCCTCTCAACAAAAATATGCCTTAGATTTACTAAAAAAATAAAAAATTACTGACTCCAAATCTTATGAAAATTCAGTTGAACCAAAACAAAAATTGGATGCAAATGAAGAAGGAAAAGAAGCAGACATGACAATATCAAAGATTTATTTGAAAAATAATTATTTCACACCAATCCTGACATCATGTTTACACTTTACAGTGAGTCTTATCAGTCAATTTTTGTACAAATCTAATGAGTTTCACCTTAAAGTTGCTTATAGATTTGTTAGATAACTTAACATCAAATCCTGGTATCACCCTTAGATTGCAATTCATATGCCTCATCTTCCTTTTCTAATGGCCTGCCCCTCTCGGGATTGTTTTCCTTCTTTTGTAAATATTTCTGATTTATTTTCATTATAAAATTTTTGGAGAAGCCTATATATATTTTCATATTTTGTACATAATCAAACAATAAAATTCAAATTAATTTTTTTCTATTTTTCTACATGCTTATTATTTTTCGTAAGGTGGAGAAAATTGGTTTTTTAAATGATTTCTTAGTTTTTCATATAATTTCCTGTTCACAAAATGGAATGTGAACTGACCAATTTTTATTTTATGGTGCGTGAATAATTTTTTCCCATCTATTCTAACTGAATCTTCTTTTTTAGGTGGCCACAATACAATGTTCCAACATTCAAAATTATTGCATCCTTATGCTTGCAGAAAGTTCGAATTGGTGAAGAAATTTCATTAATAAGGCAGGTTCTCTTTTATTGATTTATAGAATCATAAAGGCCATATTTTATGTGTTCTTGCTCATCTTTTCTGGTCCTAACTTTCACTTGTATCAAATTCCAAGAAAGGGTGAAGGTTCCTTGGCCAGTCTCAGACAGAGAGGCTATTGTGCACTACTTTGAAATTGAGTACTTCAAAGAAGATCTCATCCTTGTACTCATAAAGACGGTAAATTTCATGTTTTCTAGGTTTATGTTCAGTTGATTTATTGTTTCTCTAGTCGGTGAACTTTGCCTGAGAAAAGCTAACATTATTTTCTAAAATTGCTTAGCTTTCAGACACGGAGCATATAGATGCAGATAGTCATGGTTTCAATGGAGACGGAATCCCTCAAGCTAAAGATACAATACGGATAGATTTAGTGGGCGGCTTTGTTTTGCAAAAGGTTGAAAGTAATAGATGCTACTTTCGGTAGGTCATGGAAAAGCTTAAGCTGTCCAAGTTTCCCTTGTTCATGAAAAATTTGTTTTTATTTGTTTCTCTAAATAGTTGAACAAATTTATACTAATTTTTTATACTTGATATATTAATGAACAAGCTTGAGCAATGACCATCTTGTTCATTTTTTGTTCGTATCATTCATTATTTAACAATGAGTTAATTGTTTATTTGATGTCCTATTTTATACTCTTATATCAATATTCTATCTTTTGCACTTCAAATATTGTGTATATTATTAAACATGATAGAAATATTAAATAAATAGTTAGATATATAGATTACAATCTCTTTTGAAGAAATATTTGAACTTCACCAAACAGCATAAATAATAATTGATGAATCATGTCACGTTTGATTAAAACTTGTAAATCCACTATTTCCTAATTATAAAGTTATATGCTTAAATTAACATCAAATGTAATTAGTTTGAACTCATCAAAGGTGGATTATGGTTCGGAACTCTATGCGTCTATAACAAAGTAACTAAACTAGTTTAAACATAATTTTGAAGCTCAGTTCAAACTTGATGATGAAATAATCAACAAACTTGAAAAACACAATGCCTTTAAAATTTATTCTTTTGAATAATTCATTTTCTCTCATGTTGTTATATTTATAAAATGCCAAAAATTTTCATAAAATCACACAACTTTATGCCTGCAATCTCTAACATCTAAAAACCCTCAAGAAAATGATAAATATGCATTACAAGAGTGCTATAGGAATTTTAGGCTGTAAGTTTTAACATTTGGGCATGTGTCATCAACAAACTACAACAATGTGATTGGTTGCATCATGAGTTGCAACCAATCTTGGTTTAAGTGAAAATATATCCTTCAAAATCATCTTTATTTGTGACTTTTTTTATTGGATAATCGGATCTCCTCTTAGTGCTTGATTCATTAACTCTCTCGTTTTCTTAGTGCATCAGGAGCATGCAATGCATTGTTTTTTTTGTTTTTTTTTTCCAATTGTAATTTTATCATGAGAATTAACTTGTCAATTCCCTTTCAGTTTCAGGTTTTAATTTGAGTTATGAAATCTGATTCATTTGTTTTGGTTTTTAGTTTTCACTTTTGAAAAATGATGATGAAACTTTTTAGGGCAATATTCAATTTCGATATCAAGTTGGAGTTGATACCCCCATCACTTATAAACTTCATATCAAGGCAGCTTTTAGGCAACGGACACAAGCTTTATCAGAAGGTTTTGTTTCTATTCTTTCAACTTTAATTTATGAATTTTATCAATCAGCATGACTAAACCTTAAGGCTCAGACAATAATCAACACCATTTCCATTCAAATAGTCCATATCTTCCCTCTGATCTTCTAGACATCTATAACTGGGTGTATTTTTTAATAGAATCTCTAATTCAAAATTTTACTTAGATTGAATTGACTGGCGCATGAAATGATATTTGCTAATTTCAGGCGGTTGGATCTGTGGCAACCATCGATGAGGACTATCGGCTGGCATTGCAAGGACCATTATATGCTCGGATTCGTCAACAGTTGCACTCGGACATCAGACCTGCAACATCTTCAGAAGATTTGGAGAAAGAAAAACTCGCACTCCTCGATGAACACAAAGCTGACGCACCTGGGAAGGATAATCTCATAAAAGCAGGAACTTTGGTTCCTGAGATCACTGAAGAAGATACTGAGCCAAAGGAAGATACTGAAGCGAAGAACCATATTGCAAATGGCTCATCAGAAAATATGATTGCTAACAAACAGGGGATCTCAACCCAAGAAAAAGCTTCCATCAGCCCAGAAGTTGAACATGCTCTTGACATACTAGACCAAGTTATTTCTATGGTAAGAGGCCAATCAATTGGCCTTCAAAATTTCCATAAGCCCTCTTTGGTTGGAGAGGACTTCCCTGTTTCAGAACTAGGTGCTAAGGCTGGCCTTCTCAATAATGAAGATTTGGCAGAAAGTAGTAACAGCAAGCTTAAGTTAAACATTGAAGGCAGTCCACACACAGATGATCACAGGTTAGTCCAACAATGCCATTGATGCTAATAATAGAATACTTATATTATACTGAATTGTACTCTGATCTTCACAGACAAGACAATAAGAATTCTTCGATTATAGAAGCTGATCATCATCACATCGTGCTTTCGTCAGGGAAAGAGAGATTTTCAGATTCGGTGAACTCAAAAACGATGGAATCAAGAATCAATTTCCATGAGAACTTAACCTCAAAAGCTTCAGTTAGAATGACGCAACTATCAACGCTGGATAGTACCGGCAAAGTGTGTGATGAAGAGAGTATAAAGGCTAATGGATTTTACAGCAGCAATGGTCCCCTTAATGGCAAGACCAAGACCATGACCAAGACCAAGAAGAAGAGGAAGAAGCTAACTCTCTGTTGCTTGAGCCCAAGCTTCATCTCAGATTGAGAAGACTGGAGAATAACTGGAATATTAGTTGTTAAATAGCTTGAAAAATATTAATTAAAGTTCTTATTAGCCTTTTAAAAAAAAGGATCTCAGTGAATGATCCTTCTGGATTTAGATATACAGGTTTGCTATGCAAAATTTAAGACTTCCATGATCCTAAAGATTGAAGGAAAAGTAGAAGAGAATTATGAAATTCTGTAGTATCCGAAAGTAACAAGTAGAAATGAAAGGAGAGCAGACCGCTTGTTGCGAATATACAGACATTTTTTTATAGGATTTTATTCAGCTTGTAATTTGATCAAATTATTCTCAACTTTTGTACTCTTACCACTTCATATTTTACAGTGGATCTTCAAAGCAACTAATATTACCATTGCTATTTCAAGCTTCTTCCTTGTGTACATATCCGCTCCTTCTGCTCTTGTATTCTTCTAGTATAGCCCTTTAGCATTGTATATTTTCTTATGAAATTAGTTCACAATGTTGTCAATTTCTTCACCCACCAAAAGATTTTGTGGTTGCTGTAAGCTCATTTGCAGTCACAATTCCTCCAGTATATCATTGTGAATGAATAGTTGGAGAAATTATTACGTGCGGTTTTCATATACTGTCCAGAGGTGAATCAGAATGTGACAAATCATCATTTGTTGTGTATTGATGATGTATACTGCTGTATGCTGGGGTGACGTGACATTTCCTGATTCGTCTCTGAATCGTTCAGTGATCGCACTTAATAATTTCTCGAATAGTTGATATTTTTGTTAATATTACTGATTTAAGCCACCTAAATTAAGTAGCTAGTCTATCATTAGCAAAATACTTGGCTTTGTGTTGATCCATCATTACCAAGCTAGTTAGTATTTATGAAGCTAAAATGTCATTAACATCTTTAATAATTGATTGTTGCGGATTAAGCACAGTACCTACTAAAAAAGATTAGTGCTTGAGCAGTTGCCACAGCAAATCAATGGCTTTCTTTCTATTCCGATTTTAAGGTTTTTTCCTAATCAAAAATTTATTGTATTACCTGTGCCATTTGTCATTATTCTTGCAGATCTCAATGAAAGATATTGGGCTGCAAAAATAAAAAAAGTGACATGTGACCTTGCCATGAATTGGGACAATGACATATTTAGCATAGCAAGACACATGTAAATGTTTATTTATAAATATTATTATTTTAATTACTCTATAAGAGGAATTGTGTATGCAAATATTTTTTAATAATTATTTTTACATGTTTATTATTATCATGAGAGGCATATTATTTATGCCATAATTCATAATGCATTCAACAAAAATGTTGAAGGCAACCTAATGTGCCTTCATGATTTTTTTTATTTTTTATTTTTTTATTTTTTATTTATGATATATTGCAACATTGAAGACATTGTCATAAGGTTGATCATATGATTATTTTATGATTAAGATAAAAACTAAAGGAAGGATTCAATTCAAGTGGAGTGTTATTATGCTTAGTGCCATTGGTGAGTTGACCAAGTTAATGTGAGAGTTACAACACTTAAGTTAAATGATTATTATTGTTTTATTTGTTGATATCGTTTATGTTGTCCTATTTTATAAAAAAATTAAATAAAGATTTATAAGTTTTTATATAAATATGTGATTCATAAAATATAATTATAAAATTATGAGAACAAAAGTGCAAAATATTTTTTATGTTGAATATTCTATTCAAATTATAATTATGATATATTAATTTTTATTTCATGAAATAACTAGATTGTCAAACAAAGCTTCTTTTTAGATTGACAAATGTCTTTGAGAGCATAGTTGCTTAAGTCATGGTATATTACAAGTCTTATTAGTAGAAAATAATGAGTCATAATATTTTGCTAGGTCATACATATAGCCTAAATTCAAAGTTAAGTAAAAGTTATTACACTAATATATACTAATTCACTTGTATTACTATGTTGTGTTGCACTTAATTATTAGTAGCAAAAGTTTTTTTTTATAAATGTTTTATTCATAGTTATAAAATAATTAAATGTCAGTTTGGAAAAACTTTCTAGCTGCTATGCTTTTCAGCCTTTTGGGACAATAGCTTAAATTTTCTTTGGCTACTGTTTTCTTGCAGCTTTCTTACTGCTTTCAGAAATTTCTGTGATGAAAAATTATTTTTTGTAATAAAAGTAGCTAAGTTATTTTTCTCACAACAACTCTACATCCAACTTTATAAAATGCTACAGTCATTCCAAACAGACCATAATACTATACATAAATTGTGAATAAATAATTAAAATCATTCTAATATTATTTTTTATAAAATAAATCATCTAAATTAGGTGGTCAAAATAAGAGACATGAAATAGTAAGATGTTGGGCTATATTGATTGGAAAGTGGGGTAGGGTTATAAGGGATATGTCTTCTTGTGTTGGTAGATGTCTTTTTCATCAATATATAGAGTTATCTTTGAGGATTTCTCCCATCTCATAGTTTGAGAATTGCACATGTCATTGCATTAAATTACAGTCATGCCACTGTAACCTTATATTTATACTTACATGTTTGTATTATTAGATTTTATTTTTTATACTGTGTTGCAATTTGGAACAATATGGCAGCTTGAATTCAATTTTTGTGCCATTTGTTTGTAAATATATATGAATCCTAAATTGTTCAATACATAAATATAAATATAAATACAAATAAATATATATGTATATATTATTTATTAAAATATATAAAGAATAGTATAGAATAGTCATGTATTTATATGATTTGTTTTTTTAATTGAATTCATTGTCTATGAAAGATACCAGACCTTATTCATATGATTTTCAAGAGTTCCTAATACAAAATATGAGGGTAGAGAGAGATTATCAAAAAATATCGTAATTGGATACCAACCATTGGGTGTTCTTTGTCTTTAATTTGACCGCCTTTTTATGTCCTTAAATTTTTAATTAAAGGGCGCATAGCCCGTTCGTCAAGAAATAAATTTTCATTTTATGGTGAGAATTATAGCTAATACACAGCTTATCTTGATCTGTTGGTTGAGAGCGTAGGCTACCAACTAAGAGATCTTGGGGTTCGACTCTTGCGTTTGCGATGTGAGTTCGAGGTTACCATAATTATCCTAAATGTGCCCAAAAAATGAAATACTGCTAATTATGTTCTTTCAATTAGTTGAAATATTTGTTTGTATGATGGCACATCTTAATATGAGGACTTGTTAGTTCAATAGAATTGTTAATTTATTTCATGTAATTAATTTAAAATTATATAATTACATAAAATACTAACAACAACAAATGTTAGTTATAAAGAAAATATATTTTTATTAATATTCTTTCATTAAATTTTTTTGTTAAAATTATTCTATAGATTAACTCTTATGTGATTCTTAGTCCAAATAAGAAGATATTTTCAATGGACAATCAGAAGGAATGTAATAAGCTACAAATAAGTCACTAACTTCATCAATTTTAAATTCTTTGTTTACAGTACTTTTATTTTTATTAAATTTTAAATATTTAATATTTTTTTAATCTTATAAAATAAAGGATAATTCATTCTTTATTTTAGACTTTTAAGATGAGGTTGATTTTATCCTAAGGACATCTCCATCCGAAAAATCCATTTTCCACTTCAAAATGCATCAAAACTTTAAAATGTAGTAATTCATTTCCAATCGAATGATATTTTCTCTCTTCTTTTATGTGCTTCTTATTAAGTAAGCATTTTCTCCTCTTTCGTGCTCTTCTTCGTTAAATCCCGTAGCCTAATTTTTTGGCTTAGGTGAACAATTCGACGCCAATATTAGAGTTGTACTATTCACTTGTCGAACTTTGGCATACGATTTGGAGTTCAAATCGACTTAATGGCCGACGACATACGATGGTATGCAGTTTGGTTGAAGATGGTCTAAGCTTAACTTTTTTTTCTTGAGAAACATGAATGATATAAGGTGTGAAATATATCAACCTCTATTTAAAGGATAGATAAAATTCTAAGTAATTAAATACTAAAATAAATAAACAGTTGTTATTTTTATAATTATTATTGTTATTATTCTATCAATAAAATATATAAAATTAATGTTTCTAGAGAAACAACTCATAAGATAGTATCACTAAATTTATTAGAAATAAAATATAAGTGAAGAAGAATGTGAAAATAAAATATAAGTGAAGAAGAATGTGAAAATTATATGCATTTATTTTAATTAAATAATGGCAGGCATCAGCTGTAATAAACGCAATAGCAAACAGCGATTGGATTATGCTGTCAGGTGTATACGAAACACATGCACGTGCACCCAGGTCATTCAATAGATCAATCATGCATTAAATGTATGTTCATGTGGAATTTTTGCACTTGCGTGCTCTTATAAGTTCAAGAGGAAATTATTTAAGGCCATTTCATTGAAAATATTAGGAGTATAAAATATAAAGTTTTGTTAGTGTCTCTTGATTTGACATAAATAAAAAATAAAGTAATTGCATTGAAAATTTGGAGGCATATAGTTCTATGACCGTCTCCTGAGATATCGTTCATCACGCTCGAGTCGATTATTTATATTCTTGACCCCATTAATTTATGTTGGCATGAATAGCGCCTTCCAAATTCATCATTAATTAGATTGAAGTGCATTAGCTATATAGTCCTACCTTCTTTGCCTCTACAATCTTTGTTGTTGCGTGAAGTCTCTTTCAACTTTAAATGAACACTTGCAACTTGATCTCTTCTTGAGATTACTGACCCATGATGGCTTCATCCATTGAATTTGGTCATCTATGAGGAACTCTATCTTTTTGAGATTTTGGAGCTTCGATAAAGTTAACCTTATTAGTAGATTAACACCATTTTGTTACTTCATCAATGGAACTCGTAATTCCTAACATCCTTGTCTAGTAAGTTAGCTTCCACAATGAATTCCACTTAAGAACATGACGCTCAATTTTCTCGACAAATTGGCCTCCTTATCAAGACTATTCCTTTGATGAATTCCTCCTAAAAAAGGATTGCCCGATACTTTCTCTAAGAAATTGAATTCTTCATCGATCGACTCGCTCCTATAACTCAGCCTTCTAAATGACCTCATTGTGGAACTCGACCTCATGAGTGATTCCTCTTCAGAAGTCAGTCTACTTTATCTAATTGACTTGAGGCATCTCATTAAACATCTAACACCTTGTAGTCCGGCTAAAGCATATGCAAAGAATATTTTACACATAATCTATAAGAAGATGACACATATCCAATGTAAACATTAACAAATTATAGCTCTAATACATGTTTCATATCATGCACATATCTTTTGAAGGCCAAACTATTATTTCTCATCTAATTGCCCAATGCTCGGTACATATCATTTATCCAGCCATGTGTCATTTATGGTGCAACAACGATCAATCAAATGCGAACCACTTCTCTATAAAATCCTTGAGTTAGGTGTTGTCATGTCCCATAATCTAATTTGGATGAATTATTTCTTTTATATTTTATTATATAATAACCAGAGCTATCAATAATAAACAACAAAAATAAATTCTATAATTCAAAATATCAATACATTAG